AATTGGAGGAGGAAACATGCAGGTGATATATCAGGACAGCTGGTTACTGGCACTCAGGAGAAAACTAAACTCCTGAATGACTTCTTTGCTTTGGTATTTCACTGGGCCAAGGTAGGGTACACAATAAGCAGGGTAGGAATGATCGTCTTCTTACTATTGCTGTATAAGTGGTATGTGATCAATTAAAAAAATTAGACATATATAAATCAGCAGGACCAGATGACCTTCCTCCAAGAGTGCAGAAGGAGCTGCCCAAAGTCATCATGGAACCCCTGCGAAGCTCTTCCAAAACTCATGGTGCTCCAGAGAGGTCCCTGAGGACTGGAAGAGGGCCAATGTTGTGCCCATCTTCAAGAATGGGAGGAGGCCAATTATCCTAACTTCTATCCCAGGGAAAATCCTAGAAAACTTCATTAAGACACCTATGTGCAATAGTCTTGCAGAAGGAAGGATTCTGAACAACAGCCAGCATGGCTTCGTCATGGACAGATCCTGTCTCACCAACCTCATCTCCTATTATGATCAGGTAGCTCACCACCTGGATAAGAGAGAGGAGGTTGATATTGTATACTTTGACTTCCAAAAAGCCTTTGATCTGTTATCCCATGATGTTCTCATAAGTAAATTGGAGAATTGTGGGCTTAACTGTGCAACAGTTAGGTGGGTAGGAAGCTGGCTGTGAGGTAGGACCCAGAGAGTTCTAATGAACGGATCTGTGTCATCCTGGTGAGAAGCGGCCAGCAATGTCCCTCAGGGGTCAGTGCTTGGTCCAGTTCTTTTCAACATCTTTATTAGTGATTTGGATGTGGAGGTGAAGAGCTTATTGGCCAAGTTCGTAGACAACACCAAGTTATGGGGAAGCATGGTCATGCTTGAAGATAGGCTACAGATACAGGCAGACCTAGACAGGCTGGCAAGTTGGGTGGATTGGAACCAGATGAAATTCAGCATCAGGAAAAGTAAAGTGCTCCACCTGGGGACAAACAATCCCCTGCACACCTACAGGCTTGGCAGCACCAAACTGACCAGCACCATGAATTAAAGGGACCCAAGGTTAATAATAGACCACAGTATGAACATGAGCTGGCAGTGCAATGCTGTGACCAGCAGGGCAAATAATGCTCTGGCATGTATCAATTCATACATCTCCAGCAAAACCAAGGAAGTGATTCTTCTGCTCTACTCGGCATTGGTGAGACTGCAGCTGGAGTACTGCATCCAGTTCTGGGCACCACACTTCAACAAGTACGTGGCAAAGCTTGAGAGAGTCCTGAGAAGGGACACCTGTATGATCAGAGACTTGCACAGCAAGCCATACGAAGCAAGGATGAGGGACCTGGGACTCTTCAGTCTGAAAAAGAGAAGACAGAGGGGACTTGGTAGCAGCTTACCACCACATCAGCGGAGTACATCAAGGGTTCAGTGAACAACTATTCACCACGGCACCCCTGGGGAAAACCAGGAGTAATGGTCACAAACTCCTGTACGACTGTTTGAGGCTCAACATTAGGAAAACCGTCTTCACAGTTAGGGTGTCCAGACTGTGGAATAAGCTCCCTCCAGAGGGGTGCAATCACCTACCCTAAAAATCTTCAAGAGGAGACTGGACAGGCACCTTGCTGGGGTCACTTGACCCCAGTTGTCTTTCATGCCTGATGGAAGGGGGCTGGACCCGATGATCTTCTGAGGTCCCTTCCAGTCTTACAATCTATAAATCTATGAATTACTATAACACCTGCGAGGCTTGGGGTGTGGTTTCAGGGAGGATTGGAGCCACACAATTAGTCCCTATGGCTTTAGGTGCCCTGCAGTGCAGGATTAACCAGAGAGGCCCAGTGAGGGCCCTGGGAGCAGTAGAGGGCAGTAGGGCACTGGGGAGCCCCAGTGGGGGTCCAGTTGTATTGGGGCCACATGAAGGCCCATGGGCAGCCTCCCTATTAACATTGTTTTATTCCATCAGGCGTGGCAGACAAGAAGGGAAAGTACCCTATGGCCAGGGTGGGGCACAGTCACAAAGCCACCAGGGGCATCATGGCTGCCCCGAGACCCCAACGGGCTTCACAGTACAGCAGGTGGAGCGCCTGGGTCTCAATGCCAGGCCAACAACCAGGCCAAGTCCTAGTCAGGGAAGCAGCTGTGGCTGTTCTCCCTCCAGACTCTCAGTCTCTTCTCATCCTGCCTTCCTCCTCCTTTCCTTCTGTGCATCCCCTTTTCTGACAGCCTCTTTGCACTGGCTCATCTATGAACTCCCACCCAGGCACCAGAAGTCACAGGGAGTACCCAGGTGGTGGGGCCTGATATCAATGGGGCTCTGCTGTGTTTTCTGGCAAAGTAGTTTATGGTTTTCTTGATGGCCTGTTCCTCAGTAGCAGACACCCTTAGTGCAGACACTCCTAAGTCTGCTTCAGAAGAAGCTTTGGCACCTGCGCATGCTCAAATCCCACCCAAGGCAGCCACCTATTCAACTGAAGAGGTTGCCTATTTCCCAGGTCAGTGCTCTACCACCCCAAGGCCTGCTAGCTAGAGCTAAACATGTCCCCATCCAACCAGCTGATACTAGGCAGGGCAGGAAGCACTCTCCAATCCTTCTGCTGGAGCTGGGCAGCCAAAGGGGAGAGGGTCAGGGGCCAGAAAGAGAGCAGGAGTGTGACTCAGTGGATGCTGCCCTGGGAAGAGGGCAGTTTCAGGCCCCTTCTCCCAATGTTGTTGGCCCATTTTATTCATGGAAGAGGTGATGCAAAAGGCATAAACAGTCCAGGAAGCAAGAGGGAGGGAGCCTGACTGTGGAACTAAGGGGCTTGGGCATGCAGCTGGGAGAGGAGGCCAGGGTCCAGTCCCGACTGCCAGGACTCTTTATGCACTAAACAGTCACTGTACAGCATGGACACCTGGCACTGAGAGCAAGACCTTGAGAATGGCAAACCTAGCAGCCATGGAGGTTAGAAGTAGTTCTTCTGAGACAACCAGCAAACAAAGTGTGGTATTGCAGATGCAGCACCAAGAGTACAAAGTTGTGGGCTGGCACTAAGCGAAAGCTGGAGCCCAGAGTGGGTTCTCCCCTCACTCTCCCTTTGTATAAACATGGACCTATGATGGGAAGGGCGTGCCTGTGCCACTGAGCCGTCTCCTGCAATCACAATAGTGTCACAGGGGTTAAGTCCCAAAGGATGCAGAAGGATTGTTCTGCACACTGCAACACACAAAGGTCCTTCCTGTGGCACCGTACCACAAACTAAAGGCCTCTCAAACTACAGAATGTACAGGCAGGGAGCAGAAGCAACCAGGGCACCACAATTGTTAGGCTCCTCCATTCCCAGGGAAATTGCTTGGTAAAAGATGCTTGGTTGGTCATAGGAAGAGATCAGGCCCCAGGGCTACAGTGGAAGGCAAATGTCCCATAACAGTCCTTACCACTCTGTGCTGAGGCAAATAAAGGATTACTAACATATGAAGGGAAGCAAAGACATCAGGGGAAGCCCATGGCTCATATAAAGAGTTTATTAACAATACGAGGAACAAAGAAATGGCTCCATTACTAAACAAAGACACTAAATCATTCATAAAAATACAGAAAAGGGTCAGGCTTGTGACTGGAGCAATGTGACATGGACCAGCATTGCATGTAAAGGAACAGCAGGACTCTGCAGAACCAGGGAGGAGGGAGCTAGATTTTCTCCTTGGTAAATGCAGCAGCATGTTCCCCATGTATTGGTGCAAATGCACAATACATGGGGAACCTGGGGAACAATGCAAATCCACACCTCTCAGTCCCTGTAGCCTTCTGGCAACGGAGCCCAAAGGCTGCCCTTGTGGCATGAATAGTTTATGCCCCCTGAAATGCACATAGCACATGCAGCACAGATCCCAACTCCAGAAGGTCTCCAGCAGGGCAGTTTACAGGGAGTAGCAGAGGCCAGGAGAGAAGCCCAGGAGGAGCAGGTCAGGAGTTTGTAGGGGAAGGTGGGCTTGTGTGTCCCAAAATACTCAAGAGACCAGTGGCAACCCAAGTCAGCATGACAGGATTGCTTGTAGGCCTTGTACTATGGGAAATTAAGTAAAATTAATTAAATGATATTAAATCAAAGTAATTTTGGCAATTCCATTACTTTGCCCATTTTTTTAAAAATTGAAAAAATAAGACATTTAAAATAATTAGACATTCGAAAATATGATTGGGGCATTAAGAGAAAGCCAGAAAAATATAGGAAAAGGGGAAAGCAAACAAGGGAACGGAAAGGGCAGGGGAGGTGGCATTCTAAGTACTAAACTAAAGTTAAAAATGGCAATGGGCAGGATTGAGGTTTCCCTGAATTAATTGCTGCTCAAGCCAGGTGCATCTTTCAGGAAAAAGAAAAAAAAAATTCAACCTTGATTTGAAAATAGAGAATTCACCGCAGCTCTTGGCACATTGTTCCAAGGGTGAATTACTTCAACTGCTAACATTTGCTTGTTGGAGTCTGAGTTACTCTGGCATCAACATTCATCCATTGGCATATCCTCCACCCTTTCCTCAGTTCTCTGGACTGTCTCCAGGTGGTCAACATCCCCCTCAAGTTCTGCACATCAGAGTATTCTGGTGGCCACGTCACCAATCACTCTCTGCCCAGTGTTCCCCAGACGGTAGCCAGCAAAGCTACATGGGTAAGAAATAAAACTGTGACTGCCCACCCACAAGCTGTTCTGCTGGAAGCCCCATGCTGATGATCAGTGAAGACACCATATGATTTACTGACCCAGACACAGCTAAGCAATGGCCACTCCTGGTCACTGCACAGAGAGAAACAATCAGAAGGTGCTGAGATGCAGAGGGCCAGGGACACGTGGAAGGGAACTGTGACTTCTCTCAGGGAAAGAAACTGGGTTCCCAGGTGGGCAGTCATGGGCGTCATTCTCCAGTTCCAGGTGTTGTGGGCAGGGAGAAGGCAAACCAGGTGCAGCCATCATGGAGGCTAGATGGGGGTGGAGCAAGAAGCAGCAACACAGAGGGCAGGGCGGGTCCTCTAGGAGCGATCTGCCCGGCTCAGCAGGCTCTTCAGGGCTCCCTTCACTTCCTTGTTCCTCAGGCTGTACACAACGGGGTTCAGTGTGGGAGTCACGATGGTGTAGAGCAGTGACACCAGCCGGTCCATCTCTGAGCAGCAGCTCCTCTGAGGCCGCACATACGCTATGGAGACTGTGCCGTAGAAAAGCAGAACCATGGTAAGGTGGGAGGTGCAAGTGGAGAAGGCTTTGGCTCGGCCCTGGGCAGAGCGGATGTGCAGGATGGCTGCAAGGATGAGGACATAGGAGAGCAAGGTCCAGGCAAAGGGACAGACCACCACCACTGTGCCAGCAACATGCAGCACGCTCTTGCCAAGGGAAACATCTGAGCAGGCTGCCTGCAGCAGAGCGGGAATATCGCAGAAGTAGTGATGGATTTCCTGGGACCTCCTGCAGAAGGAGAGCTGAGACAGGATCACGCTGTGGAGGGAGGAGTAGAGGAGGCAGGCAATCCATGTGGTGGCCGCCAGGGTCACACAGAGGCGCCTGGTCATGACGGTGCTGTAGTGCAGGGGCCTGTGTATGGCCAGGTAGCGGTCAAAGGCCATTATAGCCAGGAGGAAGCACTCTGTGCAGCCCATGGAGTGCAGGAAGTACACCTGCAGTAGGCAGCCAGGCAGAGAAATGGCCTTCATGCTTGCCAGTGTGTTAGCTAGGAGCCTGGGCACGGTCACTGATGTGAAGCAGATCTCTAGGAAGGAGAAGTTACCAAGGAAAAAGTACATGGGGGTGTCCAGGTGCGAATCAGTTATTACCAAGAAGACAAGGAGCAGGTTCCCCACCAGCCCTGCTAGGTAGATGCAAAAACAGACCGGGAACAGCACAGCCTGCCAGGGCCCCGGCTCTGAAAGGCCCAAGAGGAGGAATTCTGTCTGGAAAGTTTGATTGTCCAGCTCCATCGCTCAGTGCTGCGCTGTCCCCTGAGAAGGGAGTGGAAGGAGCAGAGAAAGTGTCACAGGATGAGAAAACAGAGACCCTTCGAGGAGAATCCTAGGAAAGCAGGGCTGGGAGAGAGCTCAGGAGGTCATCTAGTCCAGCCCCCCGCTCATGGCAGGACCATCCCTGTCTAAGCCATCCTAGAAGAGTGTTTGTCTAACTTAGTCTGAAAACCTTGAATTGCTCTCTCATATAACAACCAAGCACAATGTCTGAAATATCAGTTTACCAAAAGTAAAGCAGGGGAACAAGGACACTGTCAATGTCAAGCCATTGTCAAGATAAAAGTAGTTATTAAATGTGCTCAGAGATCCAGAGGAGAAGTCTATGGCAATGGAGAAAGGCAAAAACATTATAGACCGTGCCAGTTTGACCATGGGGTAAAATTCTTTCCTGTGTCTACAAGTGATGACTTCTCTGACTGAGTGCAGGGGCAAGAACCTCTAGTGGGAAATCTCCAGGGTCTTTTTTTAGTCTCAGCACAGATATCAGCACACTCCAGTCAAAATCCCCAAGTTTGGCTGCACCCGAGTCTTCTTAGGGAGATCAGAAATAGCCCTTATGCAACAGGGGGAATCCAAGATGGATGCAGTGGTACAGTTGCACCCGCAGCTCTTTGATTCCTCAGTTAACTTCATAGCTCATTATAATCTACCATATTCCTTCTGAACTCTTCATTCCACAAGTACTAACCACCCTCTTGTCGCAACCCAAAGTTGTGATTTTTGTTTTGTGTGTGCTTCGGCACTGCTAAATTATTTTCCCGCCAAATTGCAGCTTCTTTGCACGGTGGAGTTCTCTGCTGCAAAGGAGAACTCCGGTGCAACGGAGAATTTTCCCGCCTATTTATAGCTTTCTTTGCATGGTGCATTTCTTTTGCATCTCAGAAATGCACGGTGCAAAGGTGCGTTCGGGTGTATTTTAATTCGAGCCCCATTATTGGCTTGTGTTGAATTATGCACATGTGGCGTCTAGCAATTGGCTTGCTAGCCGTATAAAGAGCTTGGGTGGTTTCCGCCCAAGTTGGAGAGAAAGCAATTGGAGTCCGAGAGGGAGGGGGGATATAAGCGGAGCTGAACCTGGAAACTGTCCAGCCTACACCGTGACCATCTTGGGTGTAAGTAAATAATCTTTAAATCAACCACTATGCCTCGGTAACTAATTCTAGCCCGTGCGTTCCTTGCCGCCCCGCGGTCCCTTCTGACCCCGCATGCCCGGGCTGCTGGCCACAGCCCGCGTGCACAAAGACGGGTCCGCATTTCGCTCCCAGCTCGCACATGGTGACATGGACGGGATCGGGAGGCGGCCTGCACACCTCTCTCCTTTTTAATGGTGTTCTATTAATCAAGCTAGGCTTTCTCTGCCAGTCTGCTGCTGTTATTTGCTCCTGATAATATAATTCCTATTTTGCAGCCCTGAAAACTGTTTTCAATTCTAACTAAAAACTTTAACTCAGTTGTGGAAACATTAACTCAGGTGAACATTCACTCGGGTGTGGATATAATTTTAAGTGAGGCATTGGATGTACTACCAACATGCTCAAGAAGGCCTCAGACTGGGCACCTTACAGTGGGTGAAATTCAAACCTTGACTGCTACATTGACTGCTTCAGAGAAAGAATGAACAATGAAATACTCGACAACAAACATCCCTATAACAACCGCTCCCTCTCAGAAAGAAGGACCATAGAATCTCTAAGATCCAACAACCAAATAGTAATAAAGCCAGCAGATAAAGGAGGAGCTATAGTTATCCTTAACTGTGAAGACTACATACAAGAAGCCAACAGACAACTCTCTGATACTACATACTATTAAAAGTACAGGAATATCTAACTCCCCTTTTCACCTTAAAACTCAAAACCACCATTACTTCATTTCCATCTGAACTACAAGAAAAACTTCAGACCCTTATCCCTCTACTACCCAATCCAGGAACTTTTTACATGCTCCCTAAAATCCACAAACAAGGGAACCCCAGCAGACCTATAATTTCTAACCATGAAACCCTAACAGAAGAAATATCAGGTTTCATCAAATCCATCCTAAAATCATTCATCACCCAAAAACCGAGTTTTATCCAAGGCACAACAGACTTCCTGCAAAAACTCAAAAACATAGACCACCTTCCCAGCTATACCCTCCTAGCCACCATGGATGTCATTAGCTTACACAGCAACATCCCACACCAGAATGACATCCAAGCCTGCCTCACATATTTATAAGAGCAAGATTACAACTCAGAGTACAGACCTCAGGATATCACTGAACTCATATATTTCATCCTCACACACAACAATTACAGTTTCAAGAACCAACTTTTCCTCCAGACCATGAGCACAGCTATGGGCACCAAAATGGCCCCACAATATGCCAACCTTTTAATGGCCCACTTGGAAGAAAAATTCCTCAAGAACTGCACCATCAAATCCTTACTATACCTGAGATACATAGATGACATCTTCATCATTTGGACCAAAACCCTGCAGTCTCTGATTGATTTCCACCAAACATTTAACAATCATCACCCCTCCATCAGACTATCGCTTGAATACTCTAACACCAGCATTTCCATTTTGGACACCATGATCGATATCCAAAATGGTAAATTCAAACCACCATATACAAGAAACCCATGGACCAACATACATATCTACACAGAACCAGCAGTCACCCTAAAACACAACAAGAAAGCTGTAATATACAGCCACGCTTTCTGATACCACTGAATTTGCACCAAGGAGAAGACCCATGATCACCACCTCACAAATCTCAAAAGGGCCTTCACCCAACAGAGAGATAGATCACACTTTTGAAAGAGCCACCCGGATACCATGTGAAGATTTGCTGCAGTATACAAAAAGAAAATCCCCATGAATAGCACACCATTAGTTATGACATATCACCCTTCCCAAGAACCTACACAGAAAATCCTCAAACAATTGCAACCCATACTAGAAGAAGACCCAATTCTTAAAAAGATCTTCCCAGAACCACCCATCCTAGCTTTTAAACAAGCACTGAACCTCACTAACCAGAAGCAGACTCCCTATGACGCAAACCACACCGAATGGATCCAGACCATGCCAGAAATGAAGAACCTGCCAGCACATCTTCACCACTCCCACAATAACCACATGCCCACAAATGAACCATCATCATTCCTGGATCCTACATCTGCACCTCCAGAAATGTTATATAACCTATCCAGTGCACCAGATGCCCTGATAGAAAATATGTAGGAGAAACCAAACAATAACTGCATACCAGAATGAACACACACCAAAAATCTACTGAACACAAGAACATTGGCAACACGTAGTACACGTGCACCCCCTACAAAAAGCAATGCCGATGCTGCTGGCAATGCCTGCAGCTGGTCATTGCTCACCAACCCCCCACCTTGCCGCCGATACCACCGGCAGCATCTGCGGGTGGTCCCCAATTGCTGCTGGCTGCTGCCAATGCTACCAGCAGTGTCTGTGGGTGGTAGCTGACCACTGGTCAGCGCTCGCCAACCCCTCTCCCCTCCCGCAGATGATCCCCCCGACGGCCACCTGTGGGGGCTCCCCATTCGGCCCACCACCGACACCACCGCAGCTGCCTACAGGAACTCCCTGCTCACCGCCACCACACCCCCGCCGCCGACACCACCACCAACACCTGCAAGAGGTTGCCGTACCCCCCACAGCCTCCAGGGGCACATGGCATTCATGGACAAGAATACCCAGTTATCTGCGGAGGCACACTTCTGACAAGATAATCACTCACCCTCTGATCTCTCAGTCCTAATCCTCAAAGTGAACTTTCAAAACACCTTTCATAGATGAGCCTATGAACTTCACTTCATAAATCTACTAAATACAAAAAATCATGGACTCAATACAGACATTGGATTTATGATACATTACGACCTGCCTGACAGCTGATTCACCAGGTACCTGACCTTTTACATTTTTATTTCCTCCTCTTCCTCCCCTCCCCTTCTTTTCTACCCTTTGTCTTCCTAATATCCAGCTATTTACTTTTTCACATTATCACAGTCAGCCTCTTTTCAACCTTGAAAACGGCTATAGTACAGTCTCCCTTACTTACCTTTGGCTTTTTCCCCCGCTCCCTTCCCTTCTCTACCTTTTGTTTTCCTAATTTCCACCTATTTGCATTCTAACTGACATCCTATCACACTTCTAGCTTCTCTCATTCCTTGGAGTCTCAGAAGAGCAGAGACTCCCTATGCCTGAAAAAGGGTGATTGCACCCAAAAGCTTGTAAAGAACTTTTTCCCAACTACTCAGTTGGTCTAATAAAAGATATCACATCTACCCAAAGAACCTTGCCTGATTCTGTTTTATGAATATGAAGGAGAGATGTATATTTAATTCTAGCAACTACCTGACTAATGAAACAACAGCTTTTGATTGTTTTTTGCCTAGTTTGTTGTGTTTGTTATATGGAATATATGACATAGCACACTAATTCCTGTTCCAATCAAGTTATATTTGTTTTTGCCTCACTCTTAAATAGAATAATACAGCCCCAGACCCCTGGCATATTAGTAAAGCTTCTATTTTTTTTAACGGGAGAAAAATGTGTTGTGTTACATGTGATGATGCCCTTCACCATCTGCACCCCCCCTTTTCAAAATCCTACCTCTACCCATGTAAATAAAGCAATAGAGAATTTCTTCTCAACCTATGCAGCAACCAGCAATGTCCATAAGCATGGGAGAGCCAAACACCCTCCACTCTGTTCTGCAACCTGGAGGCTGCAAACACAACTCCATGCATCACACACCTTAACACCAGAGATCCAGAATTCCCCTTATACCATTGTATCTCCTCATAAACTTGCCCAGACCTTTAATCCTGTTCATAACCAAGCTGGTTGTGGAGCTATGCTTCATTCTCCATCTGCTGTGGACTGCAGAGCTCTTCTTTGAGTCTCTGGCTCTGGGTCTCTGGCCCC